CAAACACCTAGTTATCACTGCTGCAGAGTGCAGCACCTCCAGAGACCACAGCTAGACCTGAACTTAGGACATCAGCAGCAATCAGCACTCACATGTTGTCACCACCAAACTATTGTGATGTTAACGAGGGGTGGTCTGAAGCCTCCAGTAACTTTCAGCTCTAAAGACCTGCCTCTTTTTCTCTAGACCGGGGATTCTTCAACCCTAAAAGCTTCTGAACAGCACCTGGAATCACATCCAGACTCCACAAGGCCTTGAATGCCAAACAGCAAGTGGTAAAAGCTAACAGTTTCTGCATCTGACTGGCTTACACAAGACTTTTGAGAAGAATTAGAGCAGTATTAGAGCATTTGGCAATGGGATAATTAAGAAATAATACACTTACAAGTTTGTTAATCTCAGAAGATAATCTTGTTCTAGCTGTGATTAGAAAAACAATGCAAGTTCACATCCCTAGTGGGTTTCTGACTGGTACCTTTGAGCAGCTTGTGCTCCACAGGCTACCTCTAAGAGGTAAAAACAATTCAGAAAAGTGGCTAAAAGTTACTGTTTTGATCACTAACAGAACATTGTCTTCACTGCAACAGTGTCTAAAGCTGAAAAAGTGATAGAGAGAAAAGCGTTTGAGCAGAACCTTCAGTCCTGACCTGAAGAGGAACAAGACACACTGCTTTCCATGAGGAAACCAGTCAGAAGGGCTGGGATTGGTATGGAGAAACCCTGGGATCCAAAACCTCCCTGGAGCTGACAGCATGTCACATCATCCTTGCTCAAGGCAGTGTGTGAACAGTTCAATTCCCACAGCTTGTCCTTGCAGCTCCTCTCTCCTCTCAGCAGCATTATTGAGGACATCTCTCTGGTCTTGACCACAGGAGTGTCAGCATTTATTAACATCTTTAAATACTGTGTGGGCTTAAATACTCACACATGCATAACCTTAAGTAGGTTGCATTTTTGCTTACAACTACTTAGCTGAATTTTCTGTCCTTTCACACACAGTTCTCTCTCCCTAGCCCTGCCTGCTATCATATGGAGCAGAGCTCCTTTGATCCTTGACTGCTTCTGCAAAATGTTAGCACAATTTTCTTGCCTGAGGTGCCACTTTCCTTGCTGAAGGAGACAGTTCTAGGAAAACAGGGCTAGCATCAGCTCTCTGCTTGTCCAGCTATACACCCTCAAGGAATTTTGGGGATCACTGGACACTTTCAACTAAATTTGAGAGATAAGTGTGTGTCCCAAACATACTACTGAGCAAGCTACATCCCAGATGAGGCACTGTGAGCTCCCCTGACAGCTGACACTTTGGGGTGCAATGGGTTGTTTCAATGGGTCTCAGAGCTGACAAGCTGGTGATGGTCTCCTCACCCTGCAGTGCTTGCAATTTATGCCCAGGGGATTAGGCATGAAGTTGCAACTCTGTCCTCAAAAAGCCCACACATAGTGGTTCAGCAAACTGCCCCTCATCAGCTTCCTGGAATGCAGGGCTCAAGTCCTGCCCATATCAGCCACTGGCAAATATCAGGTGTACATTGTGAGAAGGTTTCAACAGGAGGCTGAGAGACTCAGGAGTAACAGCATCATGAGATAGAACATGGGGTACAGGAAAGCAGTGGGGAAAGGACAAACAAGGCAAATCTGCAGAGACAACCTCTGCAAGTGCTTCACACTCACTGTGCATGAGCTTTATCTGCCCCAAAGACACAATCCATCAATGCTGTGCTGACCTCAAACTGTTAAACCCATGTTCATTAGGTCAGGATTAAGCACACATTACTGAGTCGGAGCTGGCTCAGCTTTGGTGAACGCTGAAGACTTAGATATTTACTCACATCCACTTTGGAGAAATGCTTTAGCATCCTACAACTCTCCAGTTCACCACAAACTTCCTGAATGAGTTGCTGTATTTAAAATCTAGCTCATTAAGACTTCCTTGTATTTATGCCTAATGAATGAATGGGTCACCTCAGTGGTGAGTAGACAATGCTTCTGAAACAGAAAACTCTTCTTGTAAGTATCCTACTGTTCAAATACTGGGTTTTTTTGAAAATTTTCATTCAAAATGAAGAGGTTATAGTCAAAGTGTAAGATGTGATACCTATGCAGACTTTTTTTTTAATTCAGTTGTAAGTTTTCAGTGTTGATCTCCTATGGCAGTCAAAGCATTTAAATGACTAGTTGATCACATGC